GAGAGAGAGAGAGAGAGAGAGAGAGAGAGAGAGAGAGAGAGAGAGAGAGAGAGAGAGAGAGAGAGAGAGAGAGAGAGAGAGAGAGAGTGGCACTTTGGCAGACAAAGAAAAAGGAGACTGCTTCAGGACAACTGGAGACAGACAGACGATTGACAGGAATCAATTTCTGCAAAGAACAGCTACAATGCTGCTACATGGTAAAAACCAGCAAAGAACAGCGAAAGGCGGCAAAAGAACAGCGAAAAGAAACTAAGAACAGCAAAGGACATATAAAGAACAGAAACGATTAGAACCAACAAGAAAAGGGATCTGAATCTGACAGCTGTGAAACTTAGTGCTTGACAGTGCTTGCATGACACTATGATAATACGGACACTGTCCAACTATACATAGATTGTTTTGTCAGTTTAACCCCCTTACCCATGACGATCTGGCCGGAGGGTATCGGTCATTGTTTAGCATATCTTGTTTGCGAGGATCAGAGCCCCTCAGCAGATCCCCATAAGCCTGCCGTGCCCGTTCCTAAGTTAAGGAGGCCCTCAATATTTGCCAGGGGGCCAGGGGCCTATTTTTTGCCAGTGGAGAGGCGCTTTGCCCTCATCAGGTGGTTACAGACGCACCGAAGGAGGTTGTGCACGAGGCCATGGCCCTGAATCTGTTTCCGGATGATAGCTTCCAGAACTTCCAGAAGGGCCTTGCATGGGGTGGTTGAGCCTCACAGCATCTTCAACGACCAGGAGGAGCCCGACAGTTGAAGATGCTGCCAGCCTCAGATGCTGAGGCCCAGGACCCTTAGAGTTTGAGGCCCAGGCACATTCTGGAAGGGCCCTGTGGCACAGCTACTGGGACTCAGGCATGCAGCCAGTCCAGGCCTTCACCAGCAGCCAGACACTTTCCATGAAGGAAAGTGCCTGCCCCCAGTCCAGACACATTCTGGATGGACGCTGCTGCGTGAGAGCTGCTGGAGCACACACCAGAGGCAGAGCGCTGGCCAGGGGGATGGCGCGCACGGGCGCTAGGACACGGAGAGACTGAAGGCAGCGTATCACGGCGACCATAACCGAGCCGCTCCTGCATGGGAACCGGAGGAGACGGTGGTGGTCCTGGGCGAAGGTGAAGAGCCTGTGGAGGGACAGTTAGGGGTTGAGTGAGAGGGAGAGAGAGACATGTACCTGGTGTGTCATGGAGGTCTGCATGCGCGACGTCTCCATGTACATCGGTCTGCTGCTGAAGTGCTCCTAGTTGCATCTGGTAGATTGATAGGCTAGTATAGGTGCGGTCTGATTGTAGATGGGAAGCCGGAAGCCATATAGAAGAGCGACATTGGATACATTGTTCGTGGAGGTGAGATGTGGGCTGACAATGACAATTGAGTTCATTGCTTTGCTTTTTTGGTGTTACACACTTGGTGCAATCTGCTTTCTGCTCAGCACAAGACTATCTGGCTTTCAATGTGAGGATGCAATTTGGTTTTCTGTCATTCGCTCTCACTCCTTTTCCCCTTGCATGTTTCTTACACCTTGTAATCCCTTGGAGACTTTGTGGCTTACTCGTTTGTTGTGTTTTCATGTGCAAGTAAGACATCATGCAATGTTTTGACACTACAGAAACACAACACGCAGACAACCCACACAGAACGGCGTCTGGAAAGAAGGGAACATGTTGATACATACTCTGTTTGCGTGAAGTTGAAGCCCAGTTTAGCAGACAGCTGTCCAGCCTTTTCTTACGCCAGAATGACTGAGCGACGATCATCTGACGATTCTCCTGCCGTAACCTTTCTTCTAGTTGTGAGCAGTCCCTGCACGCATGCATTTGTCAAATCAACTGGAGGTTAAGAACTTAGTAGCAGTACCAACAAAAGGAGCAACAACCCGGCAACAGAATTAAAGCCACCGCTACTTCCAAGCCTCTTTTTTGAAGCGCCCTGCGCGCCGAAAAAAATATCGAAACGGCATGGCTGTCCTTTTGGCTGGCGCAGCCAGGCATTTTGCTCCAGGCAGCCGACCCCCAAAAGTTGCGGCGTGCATGCAAGCCGCGTCGGAGAAAAATGGCTGGGAAACGTACTGGTGGCAAGAAAATAACTTCAAATAAGAGTAAAAATGCCTGGCGGCAGCACTATACCCCAGTTCACAAGAGCATTGATGAGAAAACTTCGAATGCCTCCTGACTCTGCTTTCCATTTCTAAACATCTCCCCTTGCCAGAGCTGCTGAAGACAAGGTCATGCATACAATACTTCCATTGTCAGCTGCTGGGACAAAATGTTGGACATTCGGGCCGGCCAAGCATTTTGCCAGCAGGTATGAAGTACTATGAGCACGCTTCCATTGTCCCCCAAATAGAACGTACGGTCATTATCGCTGCATTTGGGGCACCTTTCAGTCTAGATATGGCGATAATTATACCTGCATTTGGGGCAACTTTCAGTCTAGATACGGCAATAATGACCGTATGTTCTATTCAGGTTAAGGCGGTAGGCACACAGGGAAATGCTCGTTGATCGGCTCTGGAGTGCAATTTCAACTATGTTATATTGAATTCTGGAAAGAACTTTAAAGTTTAAAAACTAATAAAAAGTAAAAAAAAACTGTAAATTTGCAAAACATACTAAGTATTACTAACATAGACAATAGAATGGATGGATAACGCTCGTGGAATTAAGCATATGTGTTGAAAAAGGGAGAAAACAAAACAGCAAGGAATCATGATAAATGAGCAATCTTGCGCATGGAACATTGTTTTTTTTTTTTTTGGTTTTCCTACTCACACGACCTTCATGGTCTTGACAAACTTGACTTCTTCCATTCTTGGGAACTGAAAAAAAAAARAAAAAAAAAAAAGAAAGTTGAAGTTTTTATTATATCATGAACCTATTACATTAGTAAGTCAGAATGATAAATTTGTAATGACCCGCCAAAACACAGACTGAGAACACTGCTGATTTCTGGGATTTGCCGCTGGAATGAATGCCTTGCTGAGATTCCCGCATTCTGCTGTGGTTTCCAAGTCTGTGTGTGTGTGTGTGCGTGCCTGCTGGTTTGCATGCCTGTCTGAGTGCTTGTCAGCTGAGTGTGTGTGTGACCCGAAAGGGTACTTTTTGGTTGAAAGGCCCCACAGGGCCGGTACTTACCTGTGGCCGTGACTTTGAGGGTTGCAGCGGGGAAAACACTCGAGTAGCGGGGGTAGGCCCGCAACACTTAGAGCAGCGGGGAAAAACACTCAAGTAGCAGGTAGGCCGGTACCACTCAAGTAGTGGTAGGAGTGTCGGGTACTGGAGGCCGAGCAGAAGAAGACAAAAAGTTGGCATTTTTAGAGGCCCAGTGGCGGTAGGATAGAGGCAGGCCGGTACCAGTCCAAGTAGCCTGAGTCTAGGGCCTGTCCGGACGATAGCAGAGCCTGCAATGATGTTTCCCTCCGAAAGGGAGGAGGTACCGGTTGCTGGGAGGCTGCTCGGCCTAGGAAGTCACCGCTCAGGAGACCAGTAGGCCGCTATATCTTCTGGAGGAGCAAGTAGCTCCTCCTCATTTGCGGTATGCAAGGATTGGCGACATGCTGCTGAGCCAAGCGCTGGACTTGTGCAGCGCTGCCTGGAGGTGAAGAGCAGCTGGGCGTTCAGCCTGGCTATGGCGAGCAGCCCAGCTTGAGGAGGAGGAAGAAGGGGGCGAAGGAGGAGAGTGGCGAGGCACCTACCTGGCTATGGTGGACACCATCTTCATCACCTTGTTGGGCGCTGCATCTGGAAGGCCCCAGTTGGGGTAGTGCCGCACCAAGGAAGCTCGAGGCAGAGTCAGGCATGGCGGCTTAGTCAGCAGCGGCATAGCTGCTTTGGGTTGTCCTTTGGACAGGAGTGCAGCGCCATAGCTGCTTTGGGTTGTCCTTTGGAGAGGAGGGCAGGGCCCTCAGTAGTCCGCCATAGGCTAGGCATGTGAGAGGAGGAAGAAGGAGGGAAGCCATAGCTATGGTAGACCTGTTGTTGTGTCAGCAGTAAGAGGGAACTTCGGATATTGATTCTGGTTCATCCACTCATTGCTATTATTATTATTGGAAGAAGAATAAGATTGGCGAAGAGAAGGAGGAGGAGGAAGGTGGAGAGAGAAGGGGGATTTGTCATTGGTCTTGCTGGTGTACATTTTCTTCTTCTTTCTCTCTTCTTTGGTCTCTATCTCTTTGCAAGTGCTTTCATTTCTTTTGCAGTTGGGTGGCATTGTCTTTCATTGTGAATTTGCATTTTGGGAATGACCAAGATCGTAACAAATTACAGATACAGGCATGGTACATTACACCTGGTCACAGCTGGGATGTCTCGTCCCCTTCTCTGAACAATGATGACTGTTATAATCTTCGAAATTTCAGAGTCCAAAAACTCAAAGAAAGACAATGTCATTCAATTGCAACTGAAATGAAAGAGACTGGAAAGAGAAGTACACAAAGGAGAAAGAAGAAGAAGAAGAAGAAGAAGAAGAAGAAGAAGAAAACGAAAAAAACGAAGAAAGGAGGAAGAAGAATAAAGGAGGAAGAAGAAATGAGAATGGAAGAAGAACAAGAAGAAGAAGAAAAAAGAAGAAGGTGAACACAAGCAAGAACCAATGGCACTTCGAACTCCCTCCTCCAACATCTCCCCCAACATCTTATTAAATGATAATAATCAACAACAATAATGAATGAATGAACCAGAATCAATGTCCGAATCCTCCCCTCACTGCCAGCTACTCAAGAAGTCCACAATAGCCGTGGCTATGGCCGAACCATCGGAGCCTCACTCCGATGTCCAAAGGACAACGCAAGATTACTCTGCCTCACCCACTATGCCGCCATGCCACAATCTACCACTGGAGTCTTCCTTCCAATTATCACCCCACCCGGAGCCTTCTGGGTGCAACGCCAATACAAGAAGATGAAGATGCAGACCACCATAACCAAGGTAAGCTCCTTCACTCCCCTCCTTCTTCCTGCTCCTCCTCCTCCTCCTCCTTCTTCTTCTTCCTCCTCCCTCTTCTTCCTCCTTCCTCACTTCTCCTCCATAGCCATGTCTTCTTTCACCTCCGCCTTGGACTCCACCATAGCCGAGGTGGGAGCCAAGCTCCACCTTTCTCCTCTAACCAGTGCCTCACCCAACTGGTGAGAGCCTCCAGCAGCCTCACAGCTTGCAACTGGAGAATGAATCAACGAGACCTCTACTGCTCTTGGCACCGAATCATATACTGCTTTTTTGCCTGGCCGAATTTCACTGTAGCTTGGCCTCCCTTGGTGCCCTGGACCTACTGGAAGTTTCTGCCTTTCGGCGGGAAAATTATTGCAGTTTGCAACTACCCCCCATGGCCTGAATCTACCCTAGTACCTGTCTATGTACAGGCCCTGCACCTTTGTAACATTTCGGAGGTTACTGTGGAATTGTCCTCTGAACCTACCGGGCCTACTTGGACCTACCCAAATTACTGAGAAAGGCCAGCCGGGTCCCTATCAAATTCTACAACCGCCTCTAGCCATCTAGAGCTTCTGGTAAGTCCTCTCCTGCCAAATTTCGGGTCTGTCCCTCTGGTAAGTTCTTCTCCTGCCAAATTTTGGATCTGTCCCTGTGTCTATTGACTCTATTCTCATTATCCTTCAGCCCCAGGTCGAGATACAGAAACACAGCACGGAAAACAGAGTTTGCACAAGGACACAGACTTGGACACAAGCAATCACAAGCCCCATGCATGCTAGTCATAGGTCACACACACACACACACTCAGGAAAACACAGCAAATCACAGCAGAACACGGAAATCTCAGCAAATCAGTTCAGCAAGCAGCAATACTCAGAAAACAGCAGGTTTCCGTAGCCTGCAATTTTGCAGGTTATTACATAACCATAGACATCCACCTCCTCTCATTCTCATGCGTCGAACTCTGAGAAGAGTAGCAGCCAGGAAGCTCACTATCGGACTTTAACCGATAACCCGTAGGAACAGATTGTAAGTCTGTCG